TTTTTCTCTAATATTTTTAAAAATTTAAATTAAAAATAATAATTATGACATCTACACAATTTAATCACAGTTTATCATAAAATTTGGCTACTATCCTCTGCAAAATAATAAAAAACATAACTATATTCAAGAAACGCAATTATTGATAAGACGCGATTTAAGGAAAAAAATGGTTCATTGCAAAGAAACAATTCCAGAGGAAATGACGATATTTACCATAAAATGGCCCCCCATATCGTTTTCTGCGTAAAAGATAATGGTCAATTATTTAACTACGTGCAACCGCAACACAAGAATGAACGCGATAAAAAAACAGCATGGTCACGGGGCGAAACGCAGTGCAAAGTGCTACAAACGCGTAAAATAAATAAAGAAAAAAGGAAGTATTTAAAAAATGTTATAATTTCCTATCAAGCTTCAAATCATATTTTTATACTATAACCATATTAATTTTCTTATGGCAAGCACATAAAAATCAATAAACAAAACTGAAAAACAGGAATACAATATCGTGGTATAGGTCGCTCCTTTTGAGCTATCTATTTGCCTGCATTAAAGATGCATTTGTTTCTTGAATATAGACCGTGAAATATATTGCGCGCACCTGACAGCATGAATCAACCTGGCTAGCACTGGAGATTTTCCGCAGCGCACACTAATATAAATAATTCACCCGTTATGCTAATCGCGTCTGAATCGATCTACACCGATGATTCGTTCGTAGGCGCCATAACGATACCGTTACAACATAATAATTTCACTGATTGTAAGTGGAAAAAAAAATTTTTTTTATTCAAACTGCGCTTTTCGGAAAATTTCTTAATCAATTTTTCGCGACACACATCACGCATTAAAATTAATTATCCGATTATTTATAGCTTAAATTCGCGATTTGGCGATTAAATGTTATTTATTATTTGGTTCGATAAAACCGATTTCACTAAATAATAATTTAACAATACAATTCCCTATTGTTCCATGCAAATTTTTAATTAATCGCGATATATATTTGAAATAACGTTTAAAATCGAAATTCTATTAAAGCAGAGAGTAATTGTATAGATTAAAAATTAATCTCATTAAACGAAATTTTACAGTTTGTTTAAAATGTAACTCAGCAAGTTTAAGCTTTTAATTTACAATAATTATCGATTTTTACATATATACACATGCACAGATATATACGTGTACCTTTCATTATCTCTAGCATCAATATAATTTAACATAAAAGAAATATATAGATAAATTTACAAAAATAGATTTACATACATACTTACTAATAGATACATACTAATAGGTTTACGTACATACTTTTTACAATTTTTTTTTTTTTTTTGCTTTATTTTCAATCTGCGAAACAAATTTCCATTTACTGTATTCGCGGAGTTTCTAAATAACATTCCGCGTTCAAAAAATATGTTATTAAATATTTTTAGAATTAATAAAAGCTAAACTCTTTTTATCAATAAACTATTTTCGCTTTGTAAAAGTTAAACTCGGTTTTTGTTTAACGATTTGAAAACATGACACAGCAAAATATGCAACATATCCATTCGTCCATTCCGAAAAAAAATCGATCTCAAATTTGAATGCCATATGCTCCCATTCACACACGCACATCAATGTCGGGCACAAAAAATTCAGCACATTTCTTCCTTCTTATTCCCGCCCTTCCTCTCCGCCATACATTTATATAGCTACGCATATATGTATGCACATGTACACAAGCACACGATTTATTTATTTCTTATAATTGTCATTTGTAATCCCAATGCAAAGGCAACGTTCATTCCCGTCAAAGATTATTCATATATTTTTTTTTAATGGAAGGTATATTTACTTATAAAATTCAAAAATTTTGTTTATCAATGCTCTATAAAATTATTTTAATTACTGTACGAATATTATATATTTGTTGTCGTTCTCGTGATATTTTTAAGTATCTTACGATTATGCAAACACGTTGAAAGGCCCCAAAAAATTAATTTATACTTAACTTACACTATTCTAAAAAAATAATTTTTCGAAGCAACAAACTATATACTGTGCTAAAGAATCGAGCTCTTTGCCGCTGAATTTAATCATCATACTGATCTCTGTATGTCGCTACTAGAATGACCGTCCTGCACACTCTGCACATTCGACAACGTTGCAATTGCATCGGAGAAACTGTTTCGGACAAAGACGTACAATGCTGCAAACGGTGCGATTCGCGCTATCATCTCCGCGACGACGACGTCATTTCCTGTTCTCGGCGGCGAGGTCAGTCGCGTTAATCCCAGAAGGGTCGCAAATACACACTTGCGCACCCTTTTCGACGAAAAAGAGAGAGAAAGAGAGAGCGACACCCACGTGCGAACAGTGCGCCGCGTGCCGCGCGACTGACGCCCGACTCCTTCGAGGGCCCACTCTGTGGTCCTTCCCTCCACTGCCCTCCCACTCCCAGTATCTATCCTCGTCTCGCTACCAGTCGACACAAACGAGAAAAAGAGAGAGAGAGAGAGAGAAGAAAATGAAAGAAGGAGAGAAGAAAGAGTCTTTTTCTTCCAAAGAAGATGAATTTAATAATCCATTTCTCTTTTCTCTTTATTTTTATATTGCTTTATAGAAGTTGCTGGACTAAACATAGACATGTGAGCTTCAACTCTCGATCATCGCAAGTAATGAACTCATTTTGCGCGAAATGTATTGCTTCCTGTTCCGAAGGATTGGATAATTTGTTTTACATTTATATCAATAATCTGTTTAGCACAAAATATTATTATTTGAAATATGAAAAAACTAAAATAAAAATTATTAAAGAAGATTAATAACAATTTTTGAACAATTTTTATAATTGTTTGCTTCATTTATATTATAATAGATTATTTCCAATATATATACAATATTAAATATAATAATCCAATCGTTATTTATTTATTTGTATGTATTCTGACTTTGTTATTATCAATTTATATTTATTGTATTGTTATTATTAAATGTATATTATTGTATTACATTTTATTATCATATTTACTGTTGCGTGATAATTAGACCAAAAATAATTTTATTTATATATATTTATTAAACTGTAATATTAAAGTCTATACTTTTCAAATTTTATTGTATTAACGATTTGTTGAATTAATTTATTAAATTAATCACCTCTGTTTATCATGAGAATTTTTAGAGTATATTGTATATATCAATTATGTGATAACAATTTTGAATAAGAATATTTTGACTATATTAACAATAAAAATAATATTTGGTAAAGATAATAAAGACATGAAATTTTAAAAACGACATTTCTATCTAGGACTCTCTCAAAAATATATCTGATGATCTCGAGAGGCCAAAGTTATGCAGCTAATTTGAATGCATGAAGTCCCAAACTCATCTACTTGCCTTTAATTTAAATTCGGTCAAGCTGAAAAGAGCGACGTTTGTTCCAATGTTGAGGCATAGATAGCGAACAAATTAAAGTTATAAAGATTGAAAAATTACAGGCATAACAAATATTTCTATTATAGAAATTCAAATGCATCTAAAAATTCCGATATTATCCAGAAATTTAATATCGATAATCAAGTAGCCGGAAAAAGCAACGCTAAATTTATCGAAGAAATTATAGCGAACTTACAACGAAGAAAATATTTTTTAGGTAGAAGAAAACATTTGATACAAGTTCAAAGTATTCAAGTAATAGCGAAAATAATTTTAATTTAAAATAAACATTAATATTAATTATACAATTTTTTCTTTCTCACTTCCTATCCTGCATTTTTATTTTCGAATCACATTGTAATTTCGATAATAAATAATTCATTTTTGAAATACAAAAGATAGTAAATTTTCACAGATGTTTCTTTTTCAAAACCAGATTATTAGCAATACTATTATTGCATATCAATATAAATGTTATATATAGGTTATAAAAAGAACCTTAAAAACCCCCGGGCATACTGACGTCCCCCGTCTTCCCTGTCTTCCGCACACCCACTCAGAGGGCCCGTCCTCGCGCGTTGGCGAACCGGGTATGCGGGTGACACACACGTACCGCCCGGAATCGCATGGTGCACTCGAAAATGGTAAGAGCGATTTGTTAAATTGACAAGATAAACGATGTTCTCTCCCGTAACACGCGAGAATCGATTCTACTAAAACGGACGATCGTGGAAATGCAAATAGAGAATTACGTGTCCTCCTTGTGAGACCGAGCGATTATTCGTCGTGTCGCCTGATGAGGCTGAACAAAGGGCCTCACAGCGTGATGTCTAGAAAATTCATAAGATCCGTGTAAAAAAAGATAGGTTTGATGTGGATAAAAATGCAGATGCAGGCTCTCTCTCTTTCTTTCTATTGAGTCTATCTTTTCGTTCCATTATTGAGCTTGTGCCTTTCAAATGCGGCTCGTATCTTCCTAAACTACCTATTTATATTCTTTCTTTTACGATAGCCTGAATGTATATCTATCTTATTTTAAACGTAAAAAGTATAAAAAAAATAGAGTCGTTATATTAGAATCAATGTTAAAGTTATCGATAAGCAAATTTTTCGTTTATTGCTTATTTTTATTTTCTTTACACTTTACTATTCACTTATTTCTTTAACTCTTCTATCTTATAATCTTTAAATTTTTATTCCTTATAATATAATCATGCATTTATATTTTTTATTATAATCTGACCTAATTTCAAGTTTTAACGAACAATTTTTATAGTAAAAAATTGTATGTCCTTTCATGACGAGATAGCCTTTTCAACCAAGATAAACAAAAATCAATAAGTCGAAAGACACACTAAAACATGAAAGATATCTCGAAGAAAGCCAAGAGTAAAAAATCTCTTACGCACACTATTGTAGCGGTCGAGTGCAACAAAAGTAATTGCGATGTAAATAAATGGAAATGCACGAGAGCACACACAGCACGTGTATACGAAGAGGTTAAATTTAATACTGTACGTCACGACATTTACGTAATCCTGTCATATATATGCATGTAACCCATATATATATGTGTGCGTGTGTGTGTGTGTATCTGCATGTGTGTAGATCTTTCAAGGGATTCGTGGGTTGCGCGAATTCAATGACGAACGAGCACCGAATGCACCTGACCACCATTAACGATACTCGGGGGCATCTTATCCTGCTCTCTTCCTCTTCCCCTTCTCGATCGATACAATAGTTGGGTAACTACAAGACCAAGTTATTAACTTATCATGACGTATTAATTAAAGCATGCAATCGATAGAAGTTATCTACGCCTTTTATATCGTAGAAAATATATTGACTGGAAATATATAATTATTTGAAATATTAAAAAATTCTCTTAAGAGAGAAAGAGAGTCTCTCTTCAATATATTTTTAATATTATCAAATAAACACTTTTACCAGTGCAATCGTGTTATGTAATTAATTAATTAATCAAATTACGGCTAAACTTATTAATTAAATTAATCGATATAATAAATTAATAAAATCAGAGTAATCGCCATGATATTTGAATCTGACAATAACAAATGACATTAGATTAATTTCCTTAATAGAGATGAGAATATAAGACTCTAAAATTCACGATACTTATATCGGGCCTGGGGAAACGATCCTGGGGACACGAACCGGAATAGATTGTTCGAAAAAGCGAGTTACGTGAAGTTTCGGTCGCTTGATAACCGCCCGGTGATATCGACCGATTAATTCGTATGTATACAAAGCGCGTCGAGCCCAAAACGCTTTGAAAAAAAAAAGCAATCATCAACAACGTATGTACAACGGCGTGCGATGAATGGGGACGGTTAAATCAACGAGCACCGTGTGGGCCAACGACCAGCCGCTTCCCGCGAGATAAAAGTACACGTTGCAAGATAAGCTCCGCGACGGATTCATCCTGCCCAAGACGTGTGGGTGCTGCGCCGGAAGTGGATATGCCCTCCTATCCCCCTCCAGTAGGGTGCCCGCGACAATCGGCACGGCACTGACTCTCACGAAATAGCAAAATCTAAATTTAACCCTTTTATCTATCTTTTTCAATGGTAAAACGGAATAGAAAAGCGCTTTCTGCGAAATTAATTTCCCATAACATTTGTATTATTTTTTTAAATTTATTTAGAAATTAATCTAGTGTTTTATCTTACATTTTTTATTTGTTAGAATCTATTTTAGATTATTTATATGTAGAAAAAAATTAAATATACATAATATCTTTAATTAAAAAGATAATATAAATTTTCTTATTCTTTTTATCGTCCTTAATAATTATATATTTTAATCCTAGATTTTATATTAAAATCAAATAAAAATTTTAAATTTAGAATTAATAATTTTTTTTAATATTAACATAATGGAAGAGATTATATTTAATCAAATGACATTTTCAATTTTAAAATAAATATAAACAATTGCATTATGTATTTGTAATTCATGTATAATATGATGAATATTGCGATGTATAATTCCATGCGGCGGTGCGAGATAGCTAAATCGTAAAATGTCAAACGACAGAGCATTAAAATGCCATTCGGTGATAAAGAGAAAAGAGGAGGAGATAATGAATAGGTCAGGCGAACAGCAACCGCCTTCGCGAACAATGACGAATAGCGCGGTAAAAAAAAAAGAGCATCGCCTTATGAGTGTATTAAATAAAGCAGGCGGATAAAAACATTGATACACACTGAAATATCAAAGTGATTCAGAAGCAGGCAGGCGCGACACACCGGAAGTCACTGATTGTTCTCAAGGGTGGTGAACTTCTGTTAAGGGTCAATCGCCTTTTTGCCAATTAAATATGGCCGACCCCGGACGAATTTCAATGGCGACGAAAAAATTAGCCGATATAAATTTCAGGCTACTCAAGCTAATTGAGTTACACATATTAAATAGATAGTTAATAGAATTATTAAGAGATATTGTTAGATAATTCAATTTTTTTGTTTCCTTCACTTGACAATATTTAATTACGATAACTCTAATAAATGATAAATAATTATTTTATAATTTTTATCATGCACTTAATATATTAAATATTATATACTGGCAATAAAATTGGCGCTTCTGAAATCGTTTCTCTAAACAAGAATCACACAATTCATAAGATACAACCATCATAAGATACAATAAAATTAAATATATAAATGGATAATTAAATAATATTTTGTTCGATAGATCACGAGGCAAATCATAAATGATAATTTCATCGTGATAGCTTTAAAATGAAATTGATACAATTGTTTAATCCGCACATACGAACGCGCGATATAATATTGCCCAGCATTAATATTCTGCAGATAATGCTATCTTTAATTACGAATATATACGTTAATATATGCTACATGCTATGTAATACATGAAAACATCAATTTGATTTAATGAACGAAATTATCGAAATGTAATCTGTTTCCCGAAAAATACGACGCCGCTCGTGAAAAAAGGTAATTTAGTGATAAATCAAGAATTACGAGGTCATAAATGTCGCAAAC